TCTATGGGAGCCAGGGCTTTTTGGAGCCAGCAACTAGCGGACGTAGTGATATTGCAGGTTTTTGACACTTCCGGGTTGGCTTCATTTTTCGGGGCCGGTTGCTACGTCCATATTTTATACAGTCTATGATTCAGTCCCATGCAAGGTGGAGCAGTTGGTAGCACTGTTGCCTCACAGCAAGAAGGTTGCCGGTTCGTGTCCCAGTGGGATCACCGGGATCCTTCTGCGTGGAGTTTGCATGTTCTCCCCATGCAGCGTGGGATCCCTCCGGGTTCTCCGGTTTCCTCCCACAAGTCCAAAAACACGTTGAGGTTAATTGGTGATTTTAACTTGTCCGTAGGTGTGAATGTGAGTGTGCTTGGTTGTCTGTCTCTAAGTGTAGCCCTGTGATAGACTGGTGACCTGTTCAGGGTGTCCCCTGCCTTTGCCCTGAGTCAGCTGGGATAGACTCCAGCCCCCCCGCGACCCTAGTGAGGATTAAGCGGTGTATAGATAATGGATGCCCCATTGCTTCAGGTTTTAAATCAAATGATGATTGGACTTTGGATTTCAGTGTTTTGCAATTAATCTCAAATGAAAAAAGAAAAAAAAAAAAAAGTCAGATTGAAGTAAAAGTAAAGACAGTTTCCAAAAGAGCCTATGTACAAAACTAGCATAGTGTCTGATAGAATAAAGCGTGTTAAATCTGCTATGATCTTATTTGCATATGAAAGACCCCCTCCAGTGAACCTCCCCCTTTCTCTTGGTAAATGGTAAATGGTCTGCACTTATATAACGCTTCTGTTAAAGCGCTTTACAATGTGTTACACCTATTCACATTCATACACCAATGGTGACACAGCTGCCATGCAAGGTGCTGCCTGCCATTGGGAGCAACTTTGGGTTCAGTGTCTTGCCCAAGGACACTTCGACTGTGGAGGGACAGGGGATCGAACCGACAACCTTCGATTGGAGGACAACCCGCTCTACCACCTGAGCTGCCCCTTATTTCTTTTTTTTTTTCCTTTTTACCGTATTAACATGTCCCTATGGTGTTTTTTAAATGCTACAAGTCAAATCATGAGGAAATTAGCAGTCAAGGCCATGCCATTTAACCATGACTAAACCTTGAAACTGCAGTGTATCGATGACATGGATTCAGACCCCCAGAGTTTCATATAACAAACTGAAGAAACCAATCCTGTTAACCTTTCTGTGTTTATTGTTTATGTATGGCTGAAATACTCCAGTAGTGCAACTAGCGCTGTGTTGCCCATCGACTGATTTAGGGTCATTCTGATCAATGATGGAACAAATCAGTGCAGGTTTAGATTTCTAAAATGTAAATAAGTGAAACTAAGTGGGATTGGTATGCATTAGGGACAAACAAATAATCAATTTCAAATCAAACACATGATTTGAAACAATGCAATAAGTAAATCTTAAAGGCTTTAGTTTTAAATGTGGGTTTAGCAGCGTGTCGTCCAGAGTTTCAACTGTTGGGCCAGTAGTTTACAAGTCCAGTCTGTCCTCCTTTTCTGACAGTCACGCTTTCAATGGTAGTGCTCCATTACATGTTTTAGATCTGCTACACAGTAAATGTTGAACTGAAGCAGGACATAAAAAAGTGATATCACAAATCAAATCGCCATATCAGTCACAAAAAAATCACAAGTGGATATTTTCCCCAAATCATTCAGCTCTAATCTACATCCACATAAATATGACTTTATATTAGAGTTTATATGAAAAGAAAGCAGCTTTAATGAAAATATAGAAGAGAATAAACAATAACAGCAATTTGGAGGAATCCACCAGAATGAAGAGCACAGAAAAGCTGAAAACGTATTACTGTATTAACAAACATTCACAATCCTTCTTAAACAGCAGACACTCCAAATTCAAGTGACTTTTGTTTCAAAGCAGATTTGGTTTCTGCTGATATTGTAAATAATTATAAAAGGCTAACACATTAATGGAGGTCTTTGTTCTGGTCCTGTACGTGCACTTGTGTGAGGTAAGTAGCAACTTAAGCATGCAGGACTGTTTTGTTTTAGCATGTCTGTCCACTGTTCACCTCTGTCGCACAGGCCTCATGGAAATATTCAGACATGGCGAACAAGAGGGCAAGGGACAGATACAGCACTGAGCTCGACCAACCACATACTCTTGGATGTTCTGAGACCTCGAAACACAAATAAAGCTGCTGCTTCTAATCTCTGGAACAGTTTACCTTTTCAGGTGAGAATTGCTCAGATGGTAGAAACTTTTAGGTATCTGCTGAAGTATTTTTCATTATTTTATTGCGTGTTTATTAGATTTGTCTTTTAGTTATTGTGTTTGACCTACATGGTGCTATTTATTATTGTACAGCACTTTGGTTAAAGTCCTGCTATTTTCACATGTGCTTGAGAAGTAAACTGGACTTGACAGTTTTACTTTGTCTACCTGTAAATACTTGTAGCATATGACCGTTCATACGTGCATTTATGTTTTCATATTTCATGTGTTGTTCATCTTCTGGCTTACCTGGAATGCAGCTCAGTGCTGCCGTTATTGTATTTGCTGCCTCGCTCCCACATGCCGTAGTCAGGCACCCTGTAGGCTCTCTCCACACAGAACACCAGGTTCTGGATGAAGGAAACCTGCACACAGACAACAAACATCAAACACAGGAAGGCATGGGACACTGGGAATGAATCAACACAGACAGCTGCACATAGTATCCTAGCACATACAGACACACACCTCAGCACACACTGAGCCAGGGCTGCAGGTAGTAAACATGTTTTTCACACAGAAAACACAACCCGTACATAATTTGAAGCTGAACACACACACACACACACACACACACACACAGTGTGCATATATAATAATGGATGACCTGTGATATTGATCTGGGATGGACTGTGTAACTCTCTTATTATAAAGGTTACTAAAGTGGATAAGAACGCTGATTTCTCAGCAATGCTCAAGGTGAAACTGACCCTGCAGCTACACACAATGTGTAATTAAGTAGTAAAGTGTGTCAGCAAGTGCAGCTTTAGCTCCATTACCTTGTCAACTACCCATAACAATGAATTGACACAAATCACAGCATCCATTTATTGCAAAGTTTCAATTATCAGTCCATCACTCTTTCATTAGACTCTAAAAAGTCACAGCAGCGTCCTTAATTTCAGCAGCATACGTGAAAGTGGTCTCATATTCTCATATCTATCATCTGTTCCATAACGTCTTTGCAATAAATACACAGTGTCTGAGGGTGACATGTCAAAATCAATAGCCACATCTAGAATAAAAAAACCAAAAGGGAGAGTCATAAAACGTGTGATGACTTAAAGGCCTTGAATCATTAAGGAGACCTGAAAGTAGCAGTGCACGGGTGTGTGTGCTTGAGTGATGGGAGATTTAATCTAAAATGACAAAGCGGGGGAGAGAAAACGAGAGTGAAAGAGAAAGATAGGGAGAAGCAGATAGAACCTGTCTTGGACTTAAATAGGCCAGTTTGTGAAGGAGGGCAGGGAAAGAGGGAGCAAAGCAGACAAGGCTGGGAAAGAGAGAAAGGTGTTTGCTCGGTCTGTTATTTGGGGTTTTATGAGTGCAGTGATTAACGAGGGGAAGTTTTTAGTATCTTAATGGTATCTTAATGAATTTTACTGCCCACCGGCCAAATGAGCCTCTCCGTCTCCCTGCCGCTAGACAACCATCCTGCCAGTTCTGCTTTTTTTGGAGGCAGTTTGTGAACATAGGCACATTTGCAAAAGCATACTACATGTGCTTCTGCTTTTACCCGTGTGCCAGCAGTGCTCACACTGTGAAAAAAGGCAGACACCTGTATAATGTGAAAGAAAAAAAAAACAACTGAGGCTCAGACACATGCAGGCTAATGAGTCGCTCCATTTCATGCTGCATGAAACCGAAAATGGCATCTGGAAGGAGGTCGATAGTGCATCTTCTCTGAGGACACGCAGCAGTACCACTTGAAGGAAAAAAAAAAATACTGCAATGCAGCTTCCAGCTCACTCAAGTGAACGCAAGTGGACTTCACAAGCAGTGACAGCTAACAACAAACTAATAAATACCGTGCTAATGTGATTAGTCCAAATGAAACACACTTTAAACAGCATTCAGTGAGAAGACCAATCACAAATCCTTATACTCAGTGGATCTGATGTTTGTTAATACAACGATAAGGGGTGCAGACTGCTTCATTCTGAATTACGCAACCTAATAAGCACTGTTTAACCATGCAAATTAGGGCTGCTGCACAAACAGAGCCACCCTCATGGAAAAAAAAAAAAAGTTACACTGTCAATTTGTATCGTCAGGAGTGGGAACGGACATAAATGAGGGGTTATTGGGGTAGGGTGGGTTGGGGGCTTCTGTAAACCACGTCCAGACTGCACATGCTAATTGGGTAGTGGCATTATGTTTTACTATGTCCTTACTTTCTTGAGATAAGCCCAATTTAGTAAACAAATGGATTCCTTTACCAGGGGCACAAATTTCACTGCTCTGTGGCGGTAAGTAAAGCTGTGAATGAGCAGGCCATGAAACTAACAGAATTAATGACGTTCTAACTGCTCCTGGGGGCCACACAATAAATAGCACAGTATGTAAACTTAACAGCCAAGTTGCTTCGTTGTTTTATTAAGAGCCACACATAAAGAAGACAAAAAATGGCGACAGACAGATACATCTAACTCAGAACAAAACCACTGAAAGCAGCTTTTCGATGGTGGGCTGGTGTGCTGCCAAAGAAGACGTTACCAGTTCGATTCCCAGGAGGACATTTAAGCTTCCACAATGAAATCATCTTAACGTTTCCCCACTGAAAGTCAATTGAGCGGCTCAGCAAAAATATAAATGTGAGCCAAGCTATAAAAGTGAGATACTGTACCCTGATCCTACATTTGTGCCGGCTCTAGGATATCTGTGGGGGATTTATTACATCTAACTGGCTTTTAGAGACCCTTCGGTCTTACTGTATAGCAACTAGCGGGATCTTCTGAAGGCAGCATCAGATAACTTCCTTAGGTTCCACAATTTGCTTTAGAATAGATACAGATTTATGATACATTTTCACAATAAGAATTTTCTTGTCTGTGCAAACAGGCTCAAAAGTTCCTTATGCTCAAACATTTTTAATAGCTTGAAATTGTTATGCTAGAATAATGCCTTAATGCCCTCACTAATGTCGCACCATGAACAGGAAGGGGTGACCAAGAATCCAGCCATGTTAGCAGCTTTACAGGCAATATTCACCTTTGTATCGTCTCAGTTTAGCATGTAGCATTTACTCAGTAGCACCTAAAATAGAATATAATTGATGTAACTCATAGGAATGTCACTAGTGCTGAAATCCACTGTTGTTGTTGTCCGTGTGGATCAAAGTGGCGCACACACCAACAGACTGGTACATAAACAATAGCATTGCTAGAGACCAGCATGGCTAAAAACACACAAGGTGGCAAAAATGTAGTCAAAGCAATTTTCTGTGCCTATCTTGAACATGGAGTTCAACAGATTTTCACTATTTGAAACATCTGTATTATGAAATATCTACAGTCAGTTTAAATGTAACAGGAGGGGAAAAATAACTTGCTCAAACCCATTTGGACCTAAAGATTGTTACTGTTTTCTTCGAATACACTTGCCTGATTACATTTATATGTGTATACAGCAGAGGTGAGGACACTTAAGAGCATTATCGCTTAAATGTCAAGTAGCTGTAAATTGCATCACCTTACAGTAATTAGATTACTTCTAAGTTGAATAGTCAAGTATTTGTTCTTACGTAAAATTAAAACTAAGAGTTTTGATAACTATACAAAAAATACAGGGCCCAAGTTAATAAACCTTTTCATTGCTGATTTAAACTTCAGATTTGTATACCTTCATTTTTAAGGGCTGGTCTAATCCTGCTCTACATGAAGGACACCAGGGTTCCACTTATTTCTGGAGATGTTCTGCCATTCTTCACACTATTGTTTTGCTGTAGGGGTTGTATTGCTCTACCTTTCTCTTCTCTAGAGGTGTTCTATTGGATTCAAGTCTGGTGACATATTCGGCCAGGTCACAGTTTTCTTTTCTTTTTTTTAGAAACTGTCTGTGATTTTGGCCGTGTGCTTTGGATCGTTATCATGGTGGAATGTTCCTCATCTGTCAAGCTGCTGCAAACTGGGAGTCACCTTGTCAACAAGTATTTTGGTTTATCCACAGGCATTCAGTTTGCCATCTATAAATGTCCTCTCCCAACTCCTTTTGCACTAATGCAGCGCCATATCATCACACTCCCACCGCTGGCTTGTCAGGACTATGCATTCACTGTGGTTGTCCGAGCCAGGTTCACATCAAACATGCTGGACCTTGTCTGAGCTGAACAAATGCATCTTGGTCTCATCTTTGGTTGATGTTATGAACCATCCTTCACAGTGTCTGAGCTTTCACAGAGACACCAATTTCCACTGACTGTGCCAAGTCTGAAGCATCTGCTTGTCACTTTTTCAAGAGCTGTGTTGTGCAAGGAGTGACCTGTCTGCAGCACTGCTTTCATAGGATGACTACTGCAGCCCTGATCAGAGGTACTTTGGTTCATTCTATACCTCACGATTACTACTGTGTTTCTACTGTTTTTTTTGTTGCTCACTGAGTATCCTGATGATGCAGCCATGCAGATGACAGATCCATAGAACCAAAACTGAGAAAGTTTTGATATTCACAGAGTTTCTACTTTGGGGCCTGTATTTTCAGTGCAGTCTCTCTGCTGCAGTTGTTTCTGATTGTTCATAAGAGAAAATACCCCAGTGTTAAACTTAGAAATAAGCAATTACAGAGAGGTGTTGCCATTTTAAATGATTTGACATTTTAGTGATAATGCACAGAAGTGTACTCACCCGTTGTTGTGCTGTATGCTGTACATCAGAAATGATTGAATGTAAAGTGTCCAAAATTGATCTCCTTGGCTGTAATTTGAGTGGGTTTTTTTTTGTTTGTTTGTTTGTTTGTTTGTTTGTTATGCCTCCGCGACCCGACCCCGGATAAGCGGGAGAAGATGGATGGATGTTTGTTTTTTTTTGTTTTTTTACCTCATCAGTGTTGTAAATGATCTGCAGACCAGAGCAGATCATCTCCACCAGGTACAGCAGAAACAGCGAAACAGCATCGATCTGCAGTGATGACAGAGAGAAGGGGAGAGTGCATGAGATACCATTAAAGAAATATCACCATTTGTACACTGTGTGATATTCTCAAATTTGTCAATACAGCTGTCTTCGATTTCCTACACAGTGTAGAGACTGAGACGTGAGCTTTATAGTAGCTATTAGGCCTTTGGCATTGGACCGCTACCATCACCAATGGTAGAGTTGTTGGAAAAGAAACAACAGCCTCGGAATAAATTAATACACAGTCAATGCTTAACATCTAAACAGCTTTGATGAATTTTGAGGGTTTCTTTGTCACAGGCAACTAGCCTTGTAGGTTTACTTTGATTTTTTCATTTTTTCTCCAGCTCTCTTGATGCATTGGCCACCCTCCACTAGAAATGCAGTCTGCATCAAAACGTTACACACCAAACTGACCTCCGTCAATAGCATTGACAGAAGAGTAAGCCATTTTAGTGCCAATTTGATGCACATTCACCACTCGGGGAAAGTCATTTTTCCAGCCGTGCATGCATGCCAGGCAGAGGGCTGAAGAAATAAGATATTTTAATCAGCATTTTTAACACCACTGAGAGACAAAACATGTCACAAAGAAATTGATTGGCTAATTTATTCATAATGTTGCTCATTCATCTTTGGCAATGTTTGCTTCTCATTGAATTTCCTCCCTGAACACAGTCAGCGAAATCTTTTTTATTATTGTTTTATCAAATATGTGCGCTCTGATATAATACCAGGGTGGTGTTGCAAGATTTTACTCAGCACTCTTTATATCATAAAACAGAACCGTCCTTTTTGGTCGTATTAAGCTTCTAACCCTTGTAGGACGATCATTCCATTTGCACATTTCATTGAGGTGGACAGCTCATGATGCACATATATCACACGCAAAGCGTGCACCCAGACAAACGCAATGTCTATGTGCACTGATGTACAATCTAGTTCAAATGTCATTCTCTTATTTGCTGGTTGCCCCACTTGTGTGCTTGCTGGCTGACCTGCAGGTGGTGGTAGTCGCTGTTGGAGTAAACCTCGTCACCAGTGTCTACGTCGAACACAGAGTGCAGACACTTGGAGGGGCTGGGATCCTTTTTAAACTGCTCCACCTAAAGAGAGACACAGAGACACAAAGGAAAGGATGACAGAGAAATCAAGGCTAAATTAGAGGTGAGACACCAAAGGTACAGGATGCCACAAAAACTTGATCAAATTCAAGAACACATAACCAGGAAACCTGTGGATTAAGTAAATGTGTGTGTGTGTGTAAACTGAAATAAATTTAGGTGTCAGCTGAGATGTAAGAATTTCAGATGTAAATTGTTCGCTTCTGAAATCAGGATTTTATTAAAATCCCTTTATTCTACATGTCTTGTTCAAACATTTGTCAAACATAGACCATTTGCATTAAACAGATTCTGTAAAAAGCAGCAACTCTTCACAACCAAGAAGCCACGACTGATCAGCTGTGACCAACAATTGTGAATAAAAATTAGAAAAAGAGTTTTTTCAACTGCATTGCAGAAGCCTAGAAATGGTTTGGAGTTCCAAGGGTTTGGTGTTCAGCAGGAGTGCTTATGTTTCAAGTGCCACTTTCACTTTTTTCAGGTCTTGCAATTTGTGAAAACAAACTCAGCTGTGAGCTCGTAAGTCATCATTTATTTATGTGTTATTCGTCTATTACTATAAATAAGCTGTCACTCCTGTACTTCTCTTTAAGAGAGATTCTGGGCAAACTGTGCCTTTCTCTACACTGCAATACATGTAATACACCAAGCAACCTGGTAGGGTAGTAGCTGTGTTTTCATATAATAGTCAAGTATATTTCAATCTTTTTTCAAATGCTGCAAAACACAAATAAAGAGAAAATGCAAATTTGGCCTGTTTTCATGAACTGTTTTGGAGCTAATAAAAAAGGTTGTGCAGTGTTGTCAGAAGGTGGTATTCTGTAAATGTTAAGTTACACAAGACTGTAATAGAGAGAGAGTAGAAAAAGCCAGAAACAAAATTAGTTATTTTCCAACCACCAGAAAACCTTGAAGACAGAAAAAGAGACAAACTAAACTTTGTCCATCTACAAGAAAAAAATGGAGAGAAGTCTTCAGGGATTGATTTCAGTCAGGCAAGTTGTACTAATTCTTTCCTGTCAGCTAGTCCTGAACGAGCTTCATGCTGTCTGGGAGGAAAACAACAAAAGAAATGAAAACTGCTGATCAGTCATTTAAGCACATGTTCCCTCTGTCTGAACTTATTCAGAAAAGGTGTTTCCATCCCCCATGAAGCACATTAACTCTTTTTAAAAATGCTACCTAATCTAAGCGTAAAAACTTTTTGCAGAATTTAGGAAGATTTTTCAGATTTTTTTCATTTGTTTTCACCTTTTCTAATGTGACAGTTCAAAACGCAAAGTTAAAATAACCATTCAGAAGTAAAGAATCCACATTTCTAGATATTTAAGCAGTTTGAAATGAAATCCATCTTCAGCAATTACAAGAACCTACAACTGTTGCAGAGATATATGCTGTACATTATCTGTTGTTTCTCAGATAAAATGAAGTGAACAGTCAGCCTGTCTGCCTGATGAACAATATCCCGAGCAGATTTAGAACAGCATATTCTGTCCAGAGGCAGATAAGGGTCAGATTTAGGGCAAACAAACAATGACATGGTTTACTACAAACCCCGTTCAACATTTTAGTTGTGTTTTGTGTTCAGTTTGGTTGATGGCTTTGTGTGTTTGCTGCATCGACTCTACACACCAAATCACAGCTGGGACGCCAGCCCTGTCGCGCAGTTATAAATAATTGGCCCTTTGTCCCATTTTTACCTCGTTTGTTTCTCTTTTCTCCACCTCTCTCGTGGCTCTTCCCATCATCAAGCCCCCCTCTTGCTGTCTCCATTTTTCTTTCTACCTCCCACCTTCCCTCTCTCCCCACGTCTACCTCTACACTTCCAGTACTTTCTATTATTTACCCTGCTTTTTCTTTGTTCTCCCTCTTGCTCATTGTGTCTTTATCTCATTTCTCAGACTCTCCCATTTTTCTTTTGTTCTTTCGTTGGTGCACTAGCGCTTCCCACCTTCTCTCTCCCTACATAGGCAGGTCATAGTGGAGACCTTCTGTCCCACTTTAACTGTTCCACTTCTTGCCATCCATCCCACAGCGACTAATACGTGCGTGTGTGTGTGTAGAGAGAGAGAAAAAGAGCTACCTCTATCAGCAGCTAACAATAGGTACTTCTGTTTATGTTTCTATAAAACCTACTTTTCTGTAAATGTCTAGCTGATTTCCACTCAAGCAGAGCCACAGTGTCAAGTGGCTCCACTCTTGGGATATTCGGAGAGGCCCCAGATCTTGCTTATTGTTTTGAGTGCTGCAATGCGCCAATATGAACCTCAAATTAGCAAACCACTTCAATGCCTGCTGTTCCAGTAGTCCACTTTCATGCATTTATTTTACATATTTAGCTGCACACAAACATCTTGCATCTCATCAAACCAATTACCAGGCCATTCTTTTTCATTTCTTGTTGCTCAGGAAGTAGATTTAATTTTTCAAATCAACTCATAGTAAAGGGATACAGGCAGCATACAGCAAATTCAGTAAAAGTTCAGGAAACAGGTAGCCAAGATCGAAATATCAACACACACTTTTGTGCCTAAATCTGACAAATCTGATGAAATGTGCTACTTTAAACCTGCATTATTTAATGTTTGTGGTAGTCTGACAAGCAGTAAACACAACACTAATATATTAGTGACTTATTGAGACTTCCAGCAGCTACAGACTATAATTAGCTTTCTGATGGGAGATAAAATGCACTCTGGAAAAGGTGAAGGATGTAAAACTGAAAAAAAAAGAAAAAAACAAAACAAAAATCAAGCAAACTTGGTGACTCTCTTTAGGGTTTAGTTACTACAAGCCACACCCTTCACATTTCACCTCTGTGCAGTATTTTTTTCTATTGCTACTGTAAAAAATATTGAATAAAGAAACATAAATTCAATGATGTTGGAATAGCAAAGATGGAAAACATCTGCACAGTCCGTGCAACGTAGTTCGAAAAACTGTCAACAGAGGGGTAACCTACTGTAAGTACCATACTGAAGAAGGGTGGGCAGGTGTCAGGTGTCATACTTGGGGCATTTATGTATTCAGAACACACATGTCAAAGACCAAAACCTTGCTGAGCTAGTACTTTTACTTTAACAGAATGTCATTTGGAGCCTTGATGTTGTTTTCTGCTTATAGGACAGCTCTGTCATTTAACATTTGTGTTCATATGTAACTAACTTGCATTTTCAAATGTATGTTTTTTGTTTTTTTTTTTAAATCACAACACTGCCTGGATTACACTTTAATCAGCAGAACAAGGAAGAATTTGCATAGAATGTTTAACAAATGTTCTACTCATCTGCAAAATGTTCTCTGACTATGTGCAATATGTTTTTGGAGAAGCATGTTTTGATGATTATGTTTAAGCAACGCAGAGCTCTTGGATAAGTTTATGGAAAGCTTTTTCAGTGTTTAACCAAAGTCATAATCATTTGAATCAAGTGTGTCAATATGTACCTATAATAGGTGGGGTACAAACTGCCACATCTTTGTATTCTGTATATATGCAGTTGGGTTTTCCAGACAGACACACACAACAATTGAGTTATTCGCTTATCGTACCTAAAAGTAAAACCCTTTCACTTGAGAGACCTGTAATTCTGAGGGAATATACTTTGGTGCCCCGTGCAGAGTACTGCAAGCAGAAAATGGGGCCTAGCTGCTGGATTTACTCTGTGATATTTGCCCAGCAGTGGCCCTGTGTCACATCTTCAATAAAAATGCGGTGTACTCTGTAAGTGTTGCAGACAGGGCCGCAATGAACGCTGCTCTGTGTAATTAACTGTGTAAACACAGCTTTGTAATTAAGACACAGAAAAGCTCTCCCCTAAATTAGGTCGTCAAGGTCGAGGCGAGATGAAACAGAGTGGCTTTCAAAGGTACACACTGCACACGTGCAAAGTGACACAGCAGGCTGCTCTATTAAAAGATGCTGCACATTCGGAATGAAATCCAGATCCAGGTTCTGCTTTGGGTGCATAAGCAGTGTGCTGTAGTTCTTCGTTTGCAGCCTACACATTTATCAGGTTTATGGCAGATGTGGCATGAAATTTGCCCCCTTAGAGCAAAGGTCTCTGTCAATGAACAGATTGCAGGACATTAAGCCCTTAGGACAAAAGCAACTAGCTCCCGTTGTCATTTGTTTTGACATGAAAGAGGAACCAGATGTGTCCAGTGCTGCAGCTCTGAGAGGCTTTGATGAGTAGGAATATACCTTTGATCTGTAATACAGTGTGTAATTGCAGGGTGCTTTCATGCAAACATGCAGCGTTAGAGCAGAAGTTAAATCAAGTCAGATTAATAACTCACTTTATCAGCCTGTCTCATGTAGCAGTAGAGGATCCCTCTCATGCACTTGATGGCAGAATGCTCCAGTTCATGGGTCCGCCCCATATCATCGTCAATGCGCCTGGACAGAAGAAAGAAAAGGAAGTACACATGAGGACAGACAGAGAACAGATGTGCAACTCTCAGGAGATGATGACTGCTAATTGGGTCTTAATGTCACAGTTTTGGTGATTATTTCCACTGGCTATATGTATAAAACAAAGGATGTTTCCCAGCCACATCTAACTTCTCTTTATTGATGTCACTGTGTTGCCACATGCTGTGTTTGGTTTCTGCTGAAGTCAGTGTTTTTTAGATATTATCTATAAGAATGATGACTAAAAAATAAACCACAAAAATAGGGTTTAGGTTTTATTAAACCAGAACTACCTTTTAACCCACTGAACTCCAAAACTGCATGTCACCAGGAAAAACTTTCTCAAAATACACCATTTATCAGACCCATAAACTCTAAAAACAAAGAGAGTCATCAAATTTTTAACTTTGCAACAGTCCTTAAACATATCATGTGCCATTCTGTTGGGAAACTTAAAACTGTGATATTTAATCAAAGTATCTTTATTCTACAGGTCTACGGGATTTGCAAAGATTTGCTCGAAACAGATTCTGTAAAAAAACTAAAATTCTGCAGTTCTCTGTGCAACCAAGAAGCTATCTGTGACTCAGACGTGACCAACCGTCACATGACAAAAATTCAAGAACATTTTGGCTGAACTGGTCTGAACTGCAAGATGTGTAAAAATATAAGTAGAACAATATCTATACTATAGAGAAAAGTGGTGGCTCTTGATACTATAGATTCTATAGTATCAAGAGCCACCACTTTTTTCCAACATGAGTAAAAATCTATTGTTTTACATGTTGATTCCTGAAGTTTTTTTTTTATTTTTAAATGATAAATGGCATTATCATTTTGTTTCAGAGGTGCAACTGAACTAAAGGGATTCTTCACCTGTTTTATGTACGTATTTATAGCCCTTACTGTTATTATTTGCATGTGCATCATCCAAATTAAAAGCAAAAATTCTTTAAAATAAAATTATTTGTGGAGCAACAACTAAGCTTTGACCATGATTTACTGTGTAGTTTTTAGATATTAATGTCAGTAAGACACCACTCAGAAATCAATCACTTACTGTTTCAGTGACCACATTAGGAATCAGCACATTCCCTGTGAGGCTGGCAGATCTCAGATGCAAGTGACAAAGGTCACACTAATAATGACTTTGGCTATCAACAGAGGAAAGCCAAGCCACTGAGGTGAAACTTGTTTAAATTTCCTTGGTACACGGTGCATTAATCACACTGTCTTTTAGATGTGACCCTGCACATCAAAAGTGATTGCAGGCAGAGGACACAATGGGCAATTTTTCCATCGACCAACATCCCATTTCAAAGTAGCTTTAATGGGCATTCATTAACATACTACAAGTATCTAATGCTGTAATATGCATGAGGTGATCCAACACTGACCAGGGGCTACAGAGACATACCCAGCCCTTCAGATTTAATTACACTTAATCAGAAAAATACAAGGGAGCCAAAAAGGTTAAACAACCACAAGAAAACAAAGGCATAGTGCAGCAGTGGATGCTCTCCTCTGACTAGCAGCCCACTGATATAAAAATAAATAAATGCAACAAATTAAATTAAATTAAAGAATCAAATGTGACCAGGCAAGGCAGGAGATAAAAGTTATCATGTCTACTTAGAAGAGGAGTTTGTGGCAAATCCAACTGCCAGTCTAGTCACTGACTCTCTCTCTCTCTCTCAAACACACACACACACACACACACACAGCAGCTGGGCGTGAAGTAAGTAATGGCACAAGTCAAGCCTGTCAGATGAGAATCATCTTAATTAAATCCCAGTGACAATTCTAATAGGAGGCAGCCATGACTGATGACTAGGATCTGCCGCTGGTCACATCACCGCAGTACACTCTATTTTTACCCTTCTCTTTCCCTCTGTCTTCCCCCTCCATCTAATTTCCTCACTCAGTCTTTCTCTCCATCTCCCCGTTTGCTCTTCTCACTCTCTCTTCATCCACTTATTCACTTCCCTTATCTTCTCCTTCACTTTCTGTATCCTCCCTTTTCAACTCTGTCTCCTTTCTCCCAATCTCTGTCTCTTTCTCTCTCTCTCTCTCTCTCTGCACCTTTCTCTCCATCCTTCTCCCCCTCTTCGTCCTATTACAGGCTCATTTCGTGGAAGTGCTCTTTTCCCTGGAGACTAATCAGGGAGGAATGCAGGCATCAACAGTGGGGACAGTTGATAAAGGAGTTTGGGAGCCTCTGTGAAATTCTGAAGTGTTCTCCTTGAAGCAATAAACATGATGTGGTTAAAAGGCAAAGCTTTCAAATGACAGAGGCAGATTAAAGATCAGGGTCAGTAAGCATGAAACAGAAAAGAGTGGAAGAAAACCAAAAGTCAAAGAGGTAGAATACAAGGCACAGAAAGCTGTGAAACTTAACAGCAAACTAATGTAACTGGGGATTTTGGTCTGTTTCGCACAAAATGCTCTATAAACACACTATAAGTTACCTGTCCTTCCATTTTAGTGTTTCTTTTAGATCACTTTTGCTTTGGTAATGGAAGAAACGTAATGCATTCTAGCCTTGCTGCACAGTTGCATTTTCACACAGTCCCTCTAAAATACATAATCAGTACCAACAGCTGATGCATACGTCATCAAAAGTAACTGTCTTCAATGGTTCACGCACATATTCACCAGGAAAGTTTATGATTCACTCCAAGCAATTTTATTGCTGTTAATAATTGAACCAGTTAAAATATATATTAAACAATAAGGCAGAAGATGCGGGTCATGCATGTCAGAAAATATATTGTGCATTAGCTGTTGTACCTAATGAACCACCAGGAGGGGCCTCGTACTATATAATGACATAGAAGGCTGCAGCTCATTTGCTGTGTTCAACAGCAGCATGAGGAGGCGTGACTCAGACTACAGACATTTTTGTGCAGGAAAGCAGAGAGTATTATATGGGTTTAGCTAGCAACGGGCACCATGACAAAGACATCTGTGGTGGCTCAGGGCTTACCAGCAAAGACTGCAAATTGAAGATAAGCTGTAGTTTACTGAGAGAGCAGTTCTATAATCAAGTAAACAATATGACCAAGCTGCTTTTACGTGCCCTTGGTTAAAAATGGCTTAATCAGCATATGGAAAAATGTACTCTGTCCTTGATCAGTTTCAGTGGTTATTCAGTTATTGATTGATAACTAGCTGTTGCTAGACAACTAGCAGTGGATAGTACTTTTTCGTCTTGCAAATCACAAGTGTAAAGCTATCATACATGAGACAGTCAGGACTGATGGAGCCAGGTGAATTTCAAGCAGCAACCTCAGGGGCTAAGAAATGAAGCCACAGTGGAAGTCCCAAACAGATCTTCCTCAAATGGCCATTTGAGGCTGGCTGCATAGGTTATTTCATGATGAGCTCGAGGCTAACATGTACTACTCATGTTGTCATGGTGACATTCCTCTGTTCCCTGTTCCTTCTGTTTGCTTCGTCTGTTTCGCCCCCTCCTTTTTTGTCTCAGGTCTGTCCCTGTTTGTCCTCTCTCTGTGTTTGTACCTGGGCCTGGACACCTGTTCCTCTATGCAGGAAATCCTTCCACTAATCACCTGCTGTAGTAGTTAAGCCCCGGCTCATCACTCCACTCTTCACCCACACTAGTACCATTAGCCAAAACTCTCCTCGTAGTGCAACTTTGTGCCTCAGGTCTTAGCCATCTCCAGTCATCTCCTATCCAGCTCGCTGCCCGTGCCAAGCTTCAGCCTCCAACTCATTGTGTCCAGTGCCATTCCCACGGCCTCTATTCACCTGCAACAGCTCTCCATCTCCACATTCCCTCCCCTGGTTCCTTCTTCTTCACAGTAAGTCTTTTAAAGCTGTTCAACAGACTCTGTGATCTGTGTTGTGGTCCAGAAAGGCCATATGCATAACACACATTACCAGCTCCTACACTCCTCATTGAATTTGGGGAAGCAACTGAAGTTCCACCATATCAAAGATAGCGTTGTGTTTACACACTGGTCAGTGTTCTTAGCAGTTTTGTCTGGAGTATTTAGCAGATTTTTAACACAATAGACTAGCATAATATAATATTACCTGGGCATAATTAGCTGCCCAGTTTTTGAAATTCACCTTTTGCTCACTTTTATTTTGATGATAATTGATAAAACAGCATTTTTTGCCCATCAGTCCACACTCTCTTATCCATAAATGCAACGTGAAAAACTGCTTTCAGAAAGTTTTTGCTGGGATCGAAAAATAATAATAAAACAATCCTCAGAAATCGAATGGATCTAATAGATGATGAGTGGATTCGTATTATAGCATAAAACGCAAAACTAGATTGGGAGAAAGTCTCCATTTACTTAAAATAACTCCCATAAATGTGGTGGCCCCTAAGGATGCATACATTGCTAGCAAAGATACATTCAATTTTGTGTCCATGAAACAAATACAACATGGTTGACTGTTGTGTGTGCATGTTGTATACTGACCGGTATGCCATTGCCAGAGCCCAGGCACCAGCAGCACAGTACAGGGAGTCCCGGACCTTGGCCTCCTTACAGGTGGAGCATGTTTTGACAGGGAAAAGGCCAGTGGTGGGACTCTGGTAGTTCAGAATAGTCATCTTAACTAGAGAGAGAGAAAGAGACGGAAAGTCTTAGAAAGCAGAAGTGGTGACTCAACAGTTCTTGCTAAAACGGCAATGTTGCGATTATCTCTTCAGAGCTGCAATGGTTGAAACACCAGCGAAGAAGGTACCTGTAACATACAGACAAGCCAGCCAAAACGTCTCCATCTGCCTATACCAAAACAACACAAGCAGCTCAGAAATTACAGTTTTACAGCAGCTAGTGGAGCTTAATGCACATGTTCAGAAGACAATCCCAAACAAGTTCAAGAGGCTGACATTTAAACCACCATTCTCTACCAATTGTAAAGCATGCAGGCTTTTATTTCTCCTTGCTGGTTGTAGAATTACACTGTGCTTTTTGGAGTGGGCCTTCAAATCTGGCATTTTATTAAAGATCATGGCTGAAGTGAAAGCAGTGGCAGGAGGTGTGCTCCTGCAGCTAGCGCTGCACAGACAGCCACTGGAAATATCTGATCTGACACAAAATCCAAACACAATAAAAAGGCACAGGAGAGCAAAGCAAACACGAACGCATCCCATAAGCTGTGATAACAGATAAACACCATGAACATGTCCAGATCAATCACACTCTCAGAAGATAAAGTCAGATGCACTGGCCAGGCAAGAGCAATGCACACATGTGACAGGACATTTGATGTTGAGGAGATGTTATGGATTTCTTCTAACATTCACCGTTAGAAAGACAGGTAGATGTGAAATCTAACAGATGTGATACCTAATGAAATAGTAAACCTGTCAGTGTTTGATACTCCCAAATTGTAAATGAGAAGCTGAGGTCTCTTTGGGCGAGCTCACTCACTCCAGCTTGACACACACACACACACACACACACACACACACACAGACATTACATGACCTTAGTTTGTCTGTTTTAACTCTCACACAGAGGAAATGCACTTTCCAAAACAGCAACATTCCCACAACACTGACATCAGTCTCTATCAGATGCATTTTTGATCCTGTTTTTAAAAGTTGTTGAGTCGTTCCATCATGTTTTGCTGTGTCAGCAGGACACAGATGCAGCACTACAGTTAGACATTAAGACATTCAGTAATGGACGACCAGTATGTACTTTCTCTACTTAAGATGTTTTTTTGATGTTTTTCAGGCGGCTGTGGCTCAGGTGGTAGAGCGGTTGTCCTCTGATCGTAAGGTTGGTGGTTCGATCCCCTGCCCCTCCACAGTCGAAGTGTCCTTGGGCAAGGCACTGAACCCAAATTGGGCCCAATGGCAGGCAGCACCTTGAATGGCAGCTCTGTCACCATTGGTGTATGAATGGGTGAATGAGAAAACATTGTAAACACTTTGAGTGCTGCTAAGGTAGAAAAGCACTATATAAGTGCAGTCCATTTACGATTTGTTTGTTTTGTGTTGTATCTTTTTTTTGCAGGCAAGTCTGCAATTGCATAGTGTGGAAAGTGCAGCTCTCTTCTTCTGCCGGCGCAGCCTGACCAGTGACCCTCCTAAAGCTGTGCAGCTGTTGCCACTGCCTCAATAACTTCTCTAAGTCCCTCATATGCATATCCAGGCTTAAATTCAACCAAACAAAATTAAATTATGTTAAATTCCAATTTGAAAACGGTTGGGCAAATATATTTGCCAGTCAATTTTTTTTGTATGATCAAAGTAGGCAAACGGTAATGTAATAAACTCATTTAGAGCAGAGCTCTTTCAGTTTGTGTCAGTGTGACAGCAGATGTCTGGCAACAGAAAAGAATAGCAGTAAACCCAGTGACTGGGACTTGTCTGACTGTCTGATTGTTTTGCTTCAAAACGTGTGAATGGTGCAGCGAAAGGTGACCACAAACAGTTTATGTCAATGTTTTGCAAGAGAGTTGTGAAAGGCAACTCGCTCTGTGTGCACAAACAGACTTAACTTTGGCTCACATGGAGGTGAGGAGATACAGGCTTCATGCCTTGGATCCCAGTCATCTCGGATCACTTCCTCGCCACACTTCCTCTCCTTGCACTGAAGCCATGTTTAACTCCTCTGTCTCCAAACGCTCAGTCAGCCAGCCACCAAGCCAAGCACCACAGACAAAGTCAACAGACTTCAGATACCAACCACTTCAAGATTCCCAGGCATGCCATTTGGGGAAGCAACCAAAGCTTCTCTTTAGCTGTGATAGTATTGGCCTTCATCTTAACAGCTTTTGTCTGGGGTATTTCACAGTTTTTCAACACTACATAATAAAAGATTATAACACTGCATAGATATACCTAGCTGCCTTGCTACAGTATACTAAATCTGCAAACCACAACTATCCAACTGAGTCACTGGCTACAAATGAAAAACCTACTTTTAAAATTTTCTTTGTGAAATAAAACTGACCGTTTTCAAAAATTCCCTAAATCACAAAAGATGTAGCAGATTCACAAAGGACTCAGACTCCTTCAGTTTTTGCACATTATGTGGTGTTGCTAAAATGGATGAAACTGACATTTTTTTCACATCAACCTACATTCAGTAATCCCTAATGACAGAGTGAATGCTTTTAGAAATGTTTACTGCGATGGACAAAGCATATCCAAAAAAATCCTTAAAAATCTCACAGTTCAATCGAATAGTTAACAGTTCAATGGGGTGACATTAGGTATTTATAAATTGATGTAAACTTCCGGCAAAGTGAAGAAACTTGGAGCAAAACACTGACCGCAATCCAGCTTCGATGGTGTTCAGAAGTTGACCTCCACCTCTGTTCTCCCTGTGAGAGACTTTACTATCCTCACATACACTAAAGGCAGTTAGAAAACTGCATGTTTTCCACTTCTGTACTGACATCAGAATGGAAATGAAGACATGACTTCAGGAAACTGCTCATGTCTTGAATGTTTGGACTACAAAAATAAACTTTAAACCAAACTCTTGCCTTTTTGAAATTTGCCTGAGGAAAAACTACACACACCAATGCCTTGTCAATAATAATGAGCTTGTTCGCCATCAATTCTCAGAAGATGAAACCTATGTTTCCATGCACTGTGGACCTATTATGCAGCAGGTCAGTCATCAGATTCCCCCCCTGTCAAACATTATTTGAAAGCATGGCTACTTACAGTAACTGTAGTGGTGACAGAAAATACATGGTCCTGACTTTTATGTGGATGTGTGCTACGCAGACTGGCAGGGCAGTAAAAGGACATACAGAGCTGCTTTTCCTCACAGTGCAAATGCTTCTGAATTCATAAAAAAACAGACAAAAGTTCAGTGGTGGAAACTGACTTAGACTTTGAGAATGTGCTTTGTGTTAGTTTTAGCGAGGCTTTTCATGGAGTGATTTTAAATACAACAGCACAGCACTCCATGTAATTATTTCTGCATTTATTCAGCCACTCTGCTGTTACTCCCCTTGTCTAAAGTCTTTGTCATGTACATAAGTACTTGTAAAAAGCAGATTAAACACCCAGTTATGGTATGGTAGTTAAAGATATCTGTGTACTCCACTCCAAATAGATTTATCTAATCCCCTACCCCCTGTTACAAAAACCAGGATTCTTGTTTACATGACAGTTAGGAGATGAGCTTCGTGTAGATAGCCATCTGCACCCTGGTTACTCAACACACTTGATTTTTTGGTGAATTTGCAGAGAGAGGGCTGTTCTGATTCGATCATTAAATCACATGGTTAATCAGCCAGCTCACAAGAACTCACTGAGAGGTTTGATTTCACAGTTTATGGACTGGTTGGCACCAGAGACCCAAACTTAACCATAAATAAAATATTTTTATTTTAGGACCCTTTATAGCTACTGTTTTTGTATTTTTGTATCGGATAATTAGCAATAATGCTTGTACCAGTGCTTGTGATAAAATCTAATATTTGCTTTGAGAACTCTTGGAGACTTTTAACTGCTTCCCTAGTAGATTTGGGTGACATTTATATTTTTCATACCTCTCTGAAATTTGTGTATGTGGCGATATTCGTGTAGCAAATAAAAACATTTAAAAATGTAAAAGCTGAGCTGTTGGAGACAAAGTATATTGCTCACCCGGCAGCTCACCAAACATGAGCAACAGGAAATTTCATAAACTGTATTGTTGCGAAGTTTTGCAGCTATTAAAGTCAGCTACTCTGTTGATTTTATTGTTTTGATTATATTGCATTTGATTGATTATATTATAAACAGGGAGTTACAAAGGAGCCTCATCACTGACATGCCATTTTTTAAAAACTGAGATTTGATTTGTCTGTGTAGACATTCCTGTGTTGTCCATGTGTGTATACTTGTGCACAGAACTCTATAGTCTCTATTCAGTTCCTGAAGCACAGCAAGTCAGACCGATGTGTCCAAAGATCACTTTGAAAAGAGTGAAATATGGTGTTCTGTCATATTTACCCAAGCTGAAGCAACTTGAGTATATGGACTGTTTTCTATGAGCACAGTTGGGAAGCAAAAATCCTGATTAAGATATTATTTCTTGTGCAGCACTATAAGAGTTATATACAACCTAGACCTCTAAAAGCGTGTTTTCAACTAAATTTAGCCCAATTCTCTAGACATCTCTTGACCCTAAAATCATCAGATCAACAGTGAAATATGTTTCTTTCAGTACTCCACTGTGCCAACACCAGCGAGGGTGAAGGGAAAGTACCACCATCTATTAATTATTGTGGTGTCACCAGAGTGACTGGGAAGCTCTACAGTAAGTAATGACCAAGGTCGTTTCTTCTGAAATAAGGGAGACTTGTCATCTGGGTCCGTGACTGTGAAAGTCTGACTGCACTAAATGGATGAGCAAAGATAAAGAAAGATGGCTGAAGTTCACTGAAGTTCATGCTCAGCATCAGTTAGTGAGGATAGAACAACGGTTCAAAGCTCTTAATACTAAAACAGACCGCAGTCCTCCAATAATATATGCTGAAATATTACATACTCAAACAGAAAGCCTCTGGGAAAGTAATTTATCTGTTTCACACACACACATGCACTTAGACTTCTCCTGCAGAGGTCCCCTCACTGATGAGTAATCTGTCTGGAG